ATGTACTCAAATGTGATAGGAACGATCTTACCAAGAAATGGTATCGCTTCTCTGGTGCTGCTGGATCCGCTTTACCAACCACTTGTGTTGCCAAGAACCACTGTGGTACCCATGCTCCTGGATGGATGCAAGGCGTGCATCCCACTCAAGCACAGGGGATCGTTACACGAAGAGTCTGTTATCACTGGAGCAACAACTGTTGTCACTGGAAAAACAACATCCGTGTGAGGAACTGTGGTGGATTCTACGTGTACGAGCTGGATAAACCACCACACTGTCATCTGAGATACTGTGGCAGCGCTGGASCAGGTATGCATGATGCATTACAACACAAATTGATAAACATGATTTCTTTCGTCGAATTGTTTAAATTGGGATGAATACGAGTGAATAAACTGGACGTTTCGGACGTTAGTCCTTCGTAGTAGTAGAAGAAGGACTAAATTTAGAAACTTCAGCATAGTTAAAAGCTTTCTTACACGGTGTTTGTGCCCTTCTTATTCACTTATATACTGACAATTAAATACAATGTTAGATTCCATTACAAATTACATCGTGGGCAAAGCAGATTCCTTTTCACTTGACAAATTTGATTCCATTTCACTGGACAAACATGATGCCATTGACACTTGACAAATCAGATGCCATTTCACTTGACAAATTATTATTCCATTGACACTTGACAACTATTAGATTCTATTACACTGGGCACTAAGAAAATATACGGGAAGTGGTATTATACTGAGTTTTTTTGAATGTTGAAAGAAACAGCTTTACATTCTCTAACTTAATGGTGATACCTTCGAGTGTTAACCAACCAACTGATTCCTTCTTATATTGCATGCTGTATTTCAATTGGTCTTTTTATCATTTTATCTCATGCGAATGGTGGCTAAACACTGACCACTATTTGCAGTCAGTAAGAACGAAAACTATTCAAAACTTGTGATTCATGAACATTCTGCATGAGACAAGAAATGATGCAAAGTGAAATCAAGCGAGGTCCAGGCAATGCTCAACACAGCGGCATAAGAAATTTGCACTTCATCTCGTTAGAATATGCATTTCTATTGCTTCTTCATAACAAAGTCATTGACCATTCTGTTAAACTTAATTTCAGCTCCAACAGTT